TTAACAAAATAGGTCAAATCACTAAACCATGCAGGCTTCACTATAAAAAATAATTTTAAAAAATTATATATATATATATATTATTCTTTATAATTTATAATTTATTCTTTATATATATATATATATATATATTTAGAAGTAGTATTGATATTCTTTATTGTCAAATTAATTTTTTTTTTAAATATTAAAATAAGTATATATCTTCTTACAAAATATCATACCATATATTTAGTTTTTTTATATTTTCAAAATTCTCCAAATTTCAAATTTTTTGCATTCTTGATTAATGACTAATGAGATAAAATGATACTCCCTCGTCCACGCACAAAGTAAACATTTACTTTTGACGCGGTGGATAGTTAAAAGTAGTGTAATGACATTTTTGCCTTTATTTTTTTGGTATAAAAGTAATGATGTGATGTAAAGTAAGGGTATTTATGGAAAAAAAGTGAGTTATTTAATAAAATATTTACTTTGTAAATGGACGTCCAAAATAGAAATATGTATACTTTCTAACTGGACGGAAGCGGTATATATATATATATATAATCATAAAGGACACTACCTACCTATATATATTAATATTAATATTTTTATCAAGACAAAAAATTAGTAAATTCTAACTATTGTTCTTTAAATATGATCAATGATTAATTTGTCCTCCGACATCGGAAAAATATATATATAATATATATATTATATGATTCATTGTATCATATTTTCCGGGCTCTGTCTATTTGAATTGAAATAATTATTTACAAATTATAATATTATAGTATTACCTTTTACCAATATTTTGTTATTTAATCTTTATTTACGATAAATATAATTTGTCTTGTATATATGTCACTATTTATTGTTTTGATATTTTAAGTATGTCTAAAAATAATTTTATATCTAATTATCTGATATTAGAATATTATCAACATGTGTTGATATAACACTTTCGAAACCATTATTGACTAATTTTGTGGTACCAATTTTTAATACTAAATATTGTTGTGAATTTAATATTTTTAAATAAATAAATATACATAATTAAATAGTACCAAGAATTATCAAAGGGTGGATCCATGTCAGCACACGTGCTAATATTGCATAGTACATTTTTAATAATTATGAATATTTTTATACATGTGTAAATGAAATGATCAAAATAATAAATGTGCTAAAAAAAATAAAAATCTCTTTTTTATATTGTTGATGATAATATATATGTATGCAAGTATTGACTTATCAAATAAGATTATTTCAATACAAGAGAATATATAATTTGATTAAAATTGGTGTTTATTAAACAACAATTATATTTTAAAACTATTAAAATATATTTTTAAAACTATTAAAATGTATTGCGTTCAATTTATATTATGGGATGAAAATTTACGTAGTAATATAAAAAATAATATTTTTTTTAGTAAATTGCTATTTTTTTAAGTGAATAAAATATATATATATATATATATATACTTTTTCCGTCTACACATAAAGTATACAATTACTTTTGGCGCAGTGGTTAAGAAATAATAATATTTTAACAGTTAAAAATAGTATAATGACAATTTTACCTTTACTTTTTGGTGTAAAAGTAGTAATGTGATGTAAAGTAAGAGTATTTGTGGAAAAAAGTGAGGTATTTAATTAAATATTTACGTCCCAAAATAGAAATATGTATACTTTATAGCTGGATTGAGGGAGTATATTGTATTTAATATAATATTTATGGAAAATTATATCGTTCAAAAATACAAAGTGAACAAATCCATCATTGTTCATGCATGCGTTGTCGGTGAATGTTATGTTCACAATTTAGTGTATAATTTTATTACTCTAGTCCTCATTCGAATATATGCTCGCTTTTCTTTTTTGGGTTGTCATAAAAAAAAAAAGTATTTTAAAAAAAATTAAAAAATTATTACAATTTTGTACTTATATTGCATGAGACAATGATTACTTTTATTTTATTTATTATTATTATTATTTGTTCTTTAAGATTGTCACTTTATACTAATTAAAAAGATGGAACAATTAAATTGTAATATAGACAAAATAAAATTTTTTAAAAAAAAACTATTTTATTTTATTTTTTTTAATGTAACTGTATTCAACAAACAGCATTTAATAAATAAATAAATATTCTTGGTATTCTAATTTTGGCCCATGTGGTCATTAGGTGAGGCCCATTAAAAGCATTTTATGAAGCCCAATGATTTCATATTTATAATACCGAATTACGGACATACCAAAATTTCAAAATAAATCTATATTCTATTTAAATATGTTTTCAAGTTTATTATTCATAAATAGTTCTTAGAAAAATATTTATTTTTTATTGGAAACATAAAATAACAAAGTGATATTTTATTCAAATTATCACATCTAATTTTTATTTATATCAAATCAAATAATTTTCTATTTAAGGTTATAATTCTCAAATCAACTCAAAATTTCAAAATATATGTAAACATGTGTTTTTAAGGTAAAAAATCATATTAGACAATTACTTCGTCGCAAAAATGTCAAAAATTGAAAAATAAGGATACAAAATGTATTTATTTGCTTTTTTAAAAAAAAAAAATTGGATTTTATGTTGATTTTTTATTTATTTCAAAATGAAGTTTGTTTGTTTAGTGTTATGATACGATATATATTTTTGGTTATGTGATGTATAAAACTTTTTCAAATAATATAAAAATTAATATTTTATGTTGAATATTGAATTTTTAAAAATAATAATATATACTAATATATTATAGTATATATTCAAAATCGTATCTGGAAAAATGTCGGAAAAACACACATTTTTTATTATTTATAAAATAGATTGAGAGTCGAGTTCATTATGTCAACCCGTCTCACTTTGTATGTGCATTTGATATAAAGAATAAAATTGAAAAGAAATAATAGCATAAAATAAAATTAAAAAGAAAAAAAAATTCAATAGAGAAATTTCTTTTTACTATAGAATTTAATTCATAAATGTAAAAAATTATAATAATATGGATAAATCGATCTAAAAGAGCCGATGCATTGTTAATAGAGATCGATGAATAGATCATGAGGAAACGATTAATTGGATAAGTGAATATTTTAGTTTTTTTTTAATAAAAATTTGTGTGCTATAATTTTTTTAACAACTATTCTCTTCATTCTAACCGAAAGTATCTATTTTATAATTTTTATTATTCTCAATTAAAAGTATTTATTTTTTATTATAGTAAAAATAATTATTTGCTATACTAATTGATAAAATATTATTATTTCTACTCTATTACACAATGTCAAATGATTTAATTGGGACGAAGGTGTATAATAATTGTACTTACTAAAACTATAATATTTTTTTGACAAATAATAATAATAATAATAATAATAATAATAATAATAATAAGGGAAAAAATTATTTTTAGTTTCAATATAATCAAAATTTATCAATTTTGATCCCAATATAAAAATCTTATCAATCTTGGTTCAAATATAATTAAAACTCATCATTTTTTTGTCCCAATATAATCAAAACTCATCATTTTTTGTCTCAATATAAAATTTTTATCAATTTTAGTCCTAATATAACCAAAACTCATCATTTTTCGTCCCAATATAATCAAACCTTATCTTTTCTTGTCCCACCGTCAACAAATCGACGAAAAATACTGACGTGAAAAAATCAAACCTTATATTTATATTTGAAGAAATTGCACAATCTTGCAAGTCCACGTCAGCATTTTCCGTCGGTTTGTTGACTATAGGACCAAAAAAATAAAGTTTAATTATATTGGGACAAAAAATGATGAATTTTGGTTATATTAGGACTAAAATTGATAAAAATTTTATATTGAGACCAAAAATAATTAGTTTTAGTTATATTTAAAAAAAATGATAAATTTTGGTTATATTGGGACCAAAATTGATAAAATTTTTATATTGAAACCAAAATTGATGAATTTTAGTTATATTGGGACAAAAAATAATTTATTTCCCTAATAATAATAATAAAGTGGAGACGAGATTAGTGTGGCAAACCTACTCTATTCCATTTTGATTTACATTCCAAATAAAATCACACACTCTCCCATTTACAGTTTATCTAATTTATTGTCTATTTATTTATTTACTATTTATTCTTATTCTTCTCCACAGAGGTGATTTACTCGGAATACTTTTTACATTTTCATATAATTATAATTTCGGGAATCAAAACAACCTTGTCCCAATCGAAACTCAAAGGAGCCGGCGGCGCAGACAATATTTGATTTTTATTCGATTCAATTGGATTTAATTATTCGACTCATAAGGTATGTCTATATTTATATATATATATATATATATGTGTGTGTTTTTACAAACGATTCGATTTCGAATTTATCTATATATATATATATATGTAAGGATTTAAAGGAGTTCATGTTGTGTTCTTGAATTTTTTTTTTATTATTATTATTTTTTTAAATTCCTTTGAAGAAGATGATGAATCCCTTAGTCGTTTTACATGTGTTCAATTCAGTTACGTATGTAGGCTATATAGGTGGATCTAGAGGTACTCCTTTTTTCGTAATTTTATAAGTTTTTATTTTTCTGGTTTTTTTGGGATAAAATTGATTTTGAGTTTTTTGGTTTTGAATTGAAATGATAGTTTGACATGATATTTTGAATTTAAAACTAAATTTCAATGCAATATAATTAATAAAAAATAGATCTTTAATTTTACATGTTTTAGAAAAAAAGTATATGGAATATGTTTTATTGAAAACTATGAGATTGCATTGTAAAATAAAAAAATAATTATTTAATTTGATATAAATAGCTATTCAATATGATGTTATTTGTTCTTTCATTTGCAGGTTGATTTGTTGTCTCTCCAAGACACTAAACCACATCAAACATTGACGAAGGATCAATCTCCACCGTCGATCATCTCCGATCTTCCGATGGATCCAACGGTTCATATTCATTCAAATTGATCACCCGAAAAAAACAACACTTCTTGTCGATCTTCCAACATGTCTCTAACAATAAGTTTGGACAAGAACAACAATGTCACATTACTTACGAGACTATTTTCTTACATCTTAACATTCTCAATCCTTCTCTTAATATCCTCCCTCTTCTCCCTCATAAAATTTCGCGAAAACCCGCCTATCATCCCAAAAAAACTCCTCATTTTGATCGGCGAAAACAACACAATGGCACCATCAAGTACCCCTACGAGGATTTCCATAACCGGCCGAGGAATGAGTCGTGTAAGAACTCCCCCACTCCCTTCAAAGAACATAACTCAAGAAGTGTTTTATAACCCGTGCAACGAAAGGCAAGCGCTTCTTCGAGTGTATATGTACAATTTGCCCCCGAAGTTTCACTTCGGGATGTTGGGTTGGTCGGGTGGTGCAAACCAAACATGGCCTAATTTGGATAATCCGAGAAAAATCCCGAGGTATCCCGGTGGCCTAAACTTACAACATAGTCCTGAATACTGGCTCACGCTCGATCTTCTAACATCAGATACAGATACTGTAGTTAGGCCATGTACTGCCGTTAGAGTACATAATTCAAGGGTAGCGGATATAGTATTCGTGCCATTTTTTTCGTCCCTTAGCTATAATCGTAACCCTAAGCTTCGTGCGTCGAAACAAAGGTTTAATTTCGATAGAAAGTTGCAAGAAGAATTGGTTCGGTATTTGAGAGGTCGGGAAGAATGGGGGCGAAAGAGGGGTAGGGATCATTTGATCGTCGCTCACCATCCGAATAGCATGTTGTTTGTAAGAAAAACGCTCGGGTCGAGCATGTTTTTGTTATCGGATTTCGGAAGGTATTCGAAGAAGATAGCCAATCTTGAGAAGGACGTGATCGCGCCCTACAAGCATATGGTGACGACAATCTCGGGTGCTAATTTGCCGGCATTTGATCAACGGCCAACGTTGGTGTATTTCCAAGGGGCGATCTATAGAAAAGATGTAAGTTGTTCGTCGTGTTTTACTTATATCGTGAGTCTGTTTTTCGTTTATTATTTTACACGCAGTAAAATATATGCTCTTAGATTGAATATTCGATGTTCTAACTTTATTTGTCGATGACTCTAACATGTAAGTTAATCATCGCATTTTGTTGATATATACCATGAGTTTTTTTTTTTTCATTTCTCTCTTTATAGGCCGTAAAATATATGTCATTAGATTGAATATTCAATGTTCTCTCTTTATTTTTCGATTACTTCAATATGGTATCAGAGCAAAATGACTCTAACATGTAAGTTGTTCATCGTATTTTGTTGATATATACCATGATTTTGTTTTTTCATTTATTTCTTTATAAGTAGTAAAATATATGTCATCGGATTGAATATTTTAGTGTTCTCTAGAATCAGAGTAAACTGACCCTAACATATAAGTTGTTCGTCATATTTTGCTCATATATATACCGTTAGTTTTTTCCATTTATTTCTTTATACGCAGTAAAATATACGACATTAGATTGAATATTCGGTCTTCTCTTTGTATTTATTGATTACTTCTAATATGGTATCAGAGCAAACTAACCCTAACATTAAGTTGTTCGTCGTATTTTGCTCATAAATACCGTTAGTTTTTTCTATTTATCTTTTTTATACGCAGTAAAATATATGACATTAGATTGAATATCCGGTCTTCTCTCTTTATTTATCGATTACTTCTAACATTATATCAGAGCAGACTGAACTCTTTATTTTTTCACGTAGGGTGGAGTGATTCGTCAAATTTTACATAACCTTCTAAAGAACGAGAAAGACGTACATTTCAAATACGGGAGTGTTCACACAAATGGGGTTAGTTCCGCAGCAAAAGGCATGTCCACATCAAAATTTTGCCTAAGCATCGCGGGAGACACCCCATCATCAAATCGTCTATTCGACGCCATCACCAGTCATTGTATTCCCGTCATAATAAGCGACGAGATCGAGTTGCCATTCGAGGACGTCCTCGACTACTCGAATTTTTGCATATTTGTTCGTGCAAAGGACGCTATCAAGAAGGGTTTCCTCGTAAATCTCCTTCGAGGCATCCCACGTGACGAATGGACCAAAATGTCGGAATTGTTGAAGAATATTACGGGACGATTCGAATATCAATACCCGTCCCGTCCTAACGACGCCGTCGACATGATTTGGCAAACGATTGTTCGCAAGAAAACTCATACAATGCTAAACTTACATCGAAAAAATAGATACAATAGATCGTTGAAAGGGTAAGTGTTTTGGCCTTTTGGATCACTTTAGGAAGCATAAGATCAATTTTGTACTTGTTGGTTTGTTTAACAATATGGGCATACATGTGAATTTAGGTTTTCTAGAGATATATATATATTGTTGTTATACAATTGTTACACTTTTTCATAAAAAAAAAAAGAATATATTGTTTTTCTTCATAAAAAATAATTTAACGATTATAGAAATTAAAATTAAATCAAAGTATAAAATCAAATACATACTAAGATTTCTTTCTTTTCGGTGGTGTGTGTTCATATTGTGTTTTGGTTTAAAGGATAAAAAAAATTATATGTGATATAGGGAATTGTGTAGATAATATAAAAATAATAAATATATATAATATGTTAATTATTTTAGAAATGTGTTGAAAAATTCTTGCAAAAGAAACAAACCCTTTGTAGTAATAAATAGACGCATTATTTTTATATTAGCTGCACAATTTATAATATCTCATTTAAAAAAAATTTCCATCAAACCAAAACACAATACAAACACACCCTAACTGCAAAATACAAATAGAATACACCCATAATTTAAAAGTAATATCTTCTATATTAATATTATATATAAACTTCGCCAAATTTACTTTTAAACAAAACACTACATTAAATCATTTGCTATATAATTCAGTTTCATCAATTAAATGTTTTGTTATTTGAAGTTTGATTTTATACTTTTTATCATATAACTATCGTAGTTTTTTATACAAATATATGTATATATATATATATAATATTACATCCAAACAATACTAAGAAAAAATAAAAATTTCTAAATTTTATAATTCTATTCAACAAAGCAAACATTTTCTAAAAAAATTTACATGCTCGAACAAAACACTTACTCATAAAAACCTATGGTTAAAATACGCTATGGTCACATTCGCTCGTTTCTTCCTCCAAATCACATCTACAAACATTGTAAACAAAAAAAAAAAAAAAAAAAAAAAGCAATCGATCTACAAACTAAAAAAAAAAATCTAACCTATCCCGAAATCCGGCATCCATTCTCATTAAGGCTCGACAATTTTGTTGTGAATGGGATCGGCTCCTCGATGAACTCTTCTTTTTTGCGATGCATTTGGGTCGAAAGCCATTGCCGGCCTCATATGATCTTGCCACCCGGGATTTTCGGGGAGTAGTTCCACTTTTGCCCTTGGATAAAGACCGGAAATAATCCTCGAGCCCGAGACATTCAACAATAGGCCAGAGAAGAAGATAGCGACAACGACGAGTAAGAATTTTCGGGACATGTTTTTTCTTGGACAAGAAGTGTGTGAAGAAGAAGATGTGTTGTAAGTGTAAGAACAAATGCAAAAAAATGTTGAGTCTTGAGGTCATTTTGGTGTGGGGATTAAAGAGAAAGAGTGAATAAAGTGCTAAAGTATTTGGGGTTTTGGTTATTTGTCTAAAAATTGAGGGTTTGTTTATGTCTTTTGAGGGTTTTTGGACTAGGGGCTTTTTTTTTTATAGTATAATCTTTAATTAGAATAGTTTTTTTATATGATATAAATCTATATATATATATATATATAATATTTTGAATTTATAATTAATTTTGAGTGTAATACTTACTATGTTCACTTAAAATGTTTATATTTATGTTTTGACGCGAAGTTTAAGAAATATTGAATTGGTATTTTTTTATATGTAAAATATTTTATTGTATGTTTTAATTTAAATTTATGGTATTAATATACATAAGTGTAAGTTTGAAAATATTTATTATGCTTATTAAAAGAATCAATTTAAGTATATTTTATGTTTTATTAAATGAAAATGACAAAATATGAACAATTTGGGTGTTGGATTTAGATAGAAAAGTGTTTATCAATAATAAGTGTTTGATTTGAATTTATATTTAATATAATATTTTTTTTTAATAAATACGAAATGTAAATAATAATATATGTGGAAAATTTAGGGTTTATTCATTTATAATAGTATTTTTCTTAAATATCTATTTTTAAAAAAAATAAAATAACATTACATAAACTATAATTATTTAAATCTTAATTTTAATTTTTTTAAACATTTAATCTCACCAAAAACACTAGCACCGAAACCCTAAAAAAAGCCGTGGAATGGAAGAAATGGTAAGGCTGTTGTTTCTGGAAGATTTGAAAAAAATAAATAAATAAATAAATAATTACGTATATAATAATAATAATAATAATAATAATAATAATAATAATAATAATAAAGTAGTGTTATTCTTAGGAATCTTGGAAGCCCCTACAGGACACATTTGGTATTTTTGGTCTTTTAGACTACTGTTGCATCTACGACCATTCTCTTTATTTTTGCCCCTTTTGTCCTTTGTCCACGTCACCACTTCCATGTCCACGTGTATTTTGCTCTACCAATACACAGTAATTACTATTTTATTGATCAATAAAAATATGTTAAAAAAAAAAATGAAATTACAAATTTATCATATGCAAAAGGAATGATTCCCATCTGTAATTTATGTAAAATATTTATAGTTACTAAATTAAAAAGTTTATATATTAATTATGAACTATCAAAATGGCAAAATTAACACACTCCATCTGTCCATCTGGCTCATAACTAGATATCCGTTTACTTTTTACACAGAATTTTATAAATAGTAGTAATTCCTTCGTCCCAAATAAGGTGCAATATTTGCTTTTGGCACGGATTTTTAGGTGGGTAATATTAATTAGGATAATTTAGAAATTAGGTGATGTGATGGAGAGATAAATATATATTTTATTTTTTTATTTAGATAATGTGAGGAGATAAAGTATGGAGTGGAGATTTACTATTTTGAAAATGTTATAGGGTGTTTGGGACATACCAAAAATAAAATGTTGTAGGGTGTTTGGGACAAAGAGAGTATTATATTAGGCTTTAGTAAGAATAAAGTAGAAATTACTAAAATAACCTTATTAGTATTTTGTGATATAAAAGTAATGATATTTGTATAATATATTGTAAGTTGTAAGAGTATTTGTAATGTTAGGTAGATAGTACAGTTACTAAAAAAATATATATATTGTTATGAGAAGAACTAAAATAAAAAAAAATGATCATTTGTTATGGGACAGAGCGAGTATATTAATTATAGTACTTGATTCAACAATTTTTTTCTTTTTTTTATGTATAAGCATATTCCACTAAATTTATTTATCATCCAAAGATATTTTAAATAATGATGGTTCAATAACTTTATTTTTAATATATACATATATATTTGATAAATAATCCCTCTGTACAGCTAGAAAGTATACATATTTCTATTTTGGGACGTTCAATTACAAAGTAAATATTTCATTAAATATCTCATTTTTTTCCACAAATACCCTTATTTTACATCATATCATTACTTTTATACCAAAAAGCAAGGACAAAAATGTCATTACACTACTTTTAATTACCCATTATAATTAAAATACTATTATTTCTTAAACACCGTGCCAAAAGTAAATGTATACTTTATATGTGGACGGAGGGAGTATATAACATGATTAAATATATTTAAACTTGAGTTCAATGGATGTAGGGGTATGCTTTTTGGAATTCTTTTTTCAAGTTTTTTATTATTCAAAATCATTTTTATTTCAATAAAATATATATATATTAATTTTCATATAAAATAGTATTATATTAAATTATTGTTTTTAAAAAAAAAAAAAAAATTAAAAATGATAGAATATGATTCTAACGGTTCAATTTTACATAGTCTCTGAAATGGTTCAAAAAGATGAAACTAAAATGAGAAGTAAAGCAAGAGATTGAGTGAGAAGCCAAACAATGATTGCAAGAAAGTGATGTAAAGTTGAATATTGTGTTGTATCTTACCAAAAGTATCATAGTCTCTTAAAAATATATTCATTTTATTATTTTAATTTGTTTATATCATATTTAATAAAAAAAAATTTTTAAAAAAGTATTATATTTTTAGGGTATAGTTTTTTTATTTATGTCGGTCCCAAAATAAAGGTATCGTTTTTTAATTTACTACCTATCGAACATAATAAATATTATTACAATTTACAATATATTACACAAATATTATTATTTTTATATTAGACAATATTAATAAGAATATTTTTATCTTTTTCTTTACAAATTAATGTAATACTAATATTCAAAAATTTATATGCAAAAAAGAAATGATATTGAAACAGAGGGAGTATAAATTTTTTTTAATCTTTAGCCACTATTTTTTCTTTCTATTTACACAATTGTCATTTATAACCTACTTATTTTTTACATTCAGTTTACTTTATTCAAAAAACTACAATATGAACTCTATAAAATTTCAATTTTATCTTTATGAAATATAGGTTAAATTGTAAAGAATTCACACGTGGTTTCACGAAATTGTGCCGAATCCTCCGTACTTCTAAAACTGCATCAAACACCCTCGTAGTTTCATAAACTATGCGTCTAATCCCCTCGGCGGTCCTTATTTAACGGTATTTAACTGAAATGCGCCAAAATTGTGAATAAATTTTAGAATTTTAATTTCAGAACCACTAAAATTATAAATATATTTATTTTTTATTTAGCCTAAAGAAACAGTAAAGATAATCTCTTAAAACCTGATAAAAAATAACTATTTTTTAGTATATTTATTATTTTTTTAGGTTAAATATAATAAAAAATGAATATATTTTTACTTTTAAGTGTTTAAAAATTGAGATTCTAAAATTTATTTGTAGTTTGGACGCATTTAGGTCAAATACCATTAAATAAAGACCGTAGAGGGAGTTAGACGTAGAGTTTATGAAACCACGATGAAATTTGACGCAATTTTAAAAATATAGAGAATTTGGTGTAATTTCATGAAATCATATGTAAATTTTGTGTAATTTAACCTTAAATATATATATATATATTCTATGATAAAAAAAAATTTTAAACATTGAATCATGTAAATTACGTAATAAAATAATTTTAAAATAATAATAATAATAATAGGTAGTAGGATTCTAGTTAATTTGTTCCTTTATGCTTTTCTTCTTTAGGGGTTGTGTTCAAATTTGATGTTAAGTATCTTCTTCTTCTTCATTTAATTGCTATATTCTCTACATAGCCTACCTGCTAATATTCCATCTTCTTTTTTCCTTTCTTTTTTTATTTTTATTTTATTTCTTTTACTCTATCTTCACTCATCTATGATGGTGAAGGGTTTCCTTTTTGTCGTTATTACTTCGGTAATAAATAATTTATATTAATATAATATATATATAACACATAAACTAACGTCATAAAATATAATTGCAAACAACATATACTCTCTTCGTCCGGCCTCTAAGGTCACATCTACCTTTTGTATCATTATACTTAACATTAAAAATATTATGCTAAATTGCACAAAATTCACCTGTGGTTTCATGAAATTGCACCAAATCCCCTATATTTCTAAAACTGCGTCAAACTCCCTCGTGGTTTCATAAACTCTACCGGAGTCGAAAACGAGATGACTCTCCACCGGAGCCGAAAACGATATGACTCCACCGGAGCCGAAAACAACATGACTCCACCGAAGCCGAACACGAAATGACTCCACCGAAGCTGAAAACGACATGACTCCACCGGAGGTGAAAACAACACGACTCCACTTGAGCCGAAAACGAGATGACGCTCCACTTGAGCCGAAAACGAGATGATGCTCCACCGGAGCAAAAAACGAGATGACTCAACCGGAGCCGAAAAACGAGATGACGCTCCACCGAAGCCGAAAACCATAATCGCAAACATCGGACAGATCAGATCTCACGCCGGAAACAGACAAACAGCGAAAAGATGGCATATTATAGGCATATTTCCGGCAACAAATAAGCAACGAAATATGGCAGATCGCACGCAGGCAACAAACAGTCAACAACAAATGGCAGATCGCACGCAGCAACAGATAGACAACGATAGTTGGCAGATCACACGTAGCAACATACAGACAACGGACATATGACAGATCGTTTCAGATCGCACGCAGGAAACAGACAAGGAAGATTTATATTGCACACAGGCAACAAACAAGCAGCGAACAGATGACAGATCGGAGACGAGGCAAAAATACAACTTGCAAAGGCATGATCTCAAAATCACAAGACCTCCGGGTACAATCCAGGTTGAATGTACCCGGAGAAACACGGGTTGGTAAGCTATATCTACGGCACGAGGAATAAAGGCTCTGATACCATGTTAGAAATTTTGGGAGAAAATAATGAGATTGTGTTATTGATAATCAAAATAACGAGTTTATATATAGGCAATACAAAATAGACTTGATAGAGATCAAATCTATATATAAATCTACTAAATCTAAAACTAAATATTTAAAATATCTCAACATTACTAATTATATTTTACTTAAATTTTCGTATTCACAGTAAACCGAACACAACATGTGAGACGAAAGAAGAATTACTAATAAATAATAATTGTTGTTGGAAGTGAATTCAAACTCATTTATTTAAGAACCGAATCCAAAATATTTTTTTGTGAGAAGAGAAATCTCCAATGTTACTAAATATATATATATATATATAATCCCTTCATCTCAACTCAATATATTAACTTATTTTTTTATTATATTAAATTAAAAAATAATAGTAATATTTTATTTGAGTAGATATAGTAATATTTTTGTCTTTTAAAAGTAAAAAATAAATAAATATTTTAATAAAAATTAAAAATATTTTAATATTTATATAGAATTACTTTTACTATAATTGAAATAAAATTAGACGAAAATAGCAGAAAGAGTATCTTGAGCGAAAGGAGGAAATATAAATTCGCAATAATATAAAAACAAAATTGAAAATCATTTAGGCAAAATTCTAATAACTTTTTTTTTTTTTTTAAAAAAAAAAATTTCTCATGGACGCACCTGTTCCCAAATCACAGCTACCTTAGCTTCAAGAGCTTCAAAACCACACAATTTCTCCTACAAATATTTAATCCTCAAATGATCGATTCAGTTTCTCCAACCACGACGACGTCCCGAGCTTCGGCAATCGCTGCAGGCTCCTTCACGTCGGCGGAGTATAGTATCTTCTTGATCGCCACGGCCATCTGCAACAGACAGGTTCGAAAGAAAACATTATTACATGTAAGAGGTGTTCTTTTAAAATTTTGATTTGAATCTTTTTACTATATCGTCGTAATTCTTTTGTAAAAACTCGCTGTTGAAACCAAAAATCAAAATGAAAAGGAAAAATCGAACTCTAAAAGAACAGAGGAAGCATTCATACCGGGAGATTCTCCAACTGCGGCGTCTGACAGAGGATTTCGATGTCCCTCAGCTTCGCAAAGTAGAAATCCCTTTCGTTCTCCAATAGATCGACTGACAGCTTCAGCTCCGTGATCTAAATGACAAACGATTCAATCCTCAGTCGAAAACGATAACAGAGTGATCGATGAATGTCTTCTTTTGAAGTTTAGATTTAAATGTGTTCTTTCGACGTAATACAAATAAACGTCTGATGTGATATTTTAAATGAAAATTTTTGGTTTTGTATATTGTATATTAAATAAAAACTACTCATGCCATCCCAATTCGAAATACTCTTTTTGCCAATTTCATCTCAAAAGTATATTTTTTCCTATTTTAATAAAAATAATCATACATTAATACCAAAATACCTGACTTTTACTTAAAATTACAAATATACCATTATACGTACAATTATTTTATACATAAAATCAAACGGCAAAATTGTCAAAATATCTTGCACACTTCCATTAATCAATAAAATACTATTATCTTTTAATCTATTATAAAAAAACCAAAGAGGTACATTCATCCGATACAGAGGAAGTATGTATCTTGGTATCTTGGACGGGAAACTGATAATAGTGCAAAGCCAAATCCAAACACACTACAAATAAAAATTTAATTTTAAAATAATATCTAATGAAATATAAATAGGTGTTTCATACTCCCTCCATCTAGCTAGAAAATATATATAGAGTAATTATTTCATTAAATACTTCATTTTTTTCCACAAATACCCTTAGATCACATCATTATTTTTATACAAAAAAATAAATGCACAAATGTGATTACACTGTTTTTATCTATCCACTATAATTAAAATACTATTATTTCTTAAAACTTCGGCCAAAAGTAAAGTATACTTCTTAGTTGAACGGAGGAAGTATTAAATAAGACATAGATATTTGGTTCGATCTTTTAACAATGCAAAGATCGAATCCAAACATTAAAGAACAGAGTTTGCAATTTTATTACCTCATTTGTTAATCCTCGAATCTGCGCCGAAGAGTCGGCCGTCGGAGCTTCCCCGGCCGGTTTCCCTTGCTTCGTACCTGAAAGTAAATCCTACATTAAACAACTTCAAATATATATACATATACATATATATATATATATATTCGATGCAGCTATTTGATTTGATCGACTACGAATCGCAGCTTCAGACTCACCGGGAATCTTGTTGCTAACAATTCCATTTCCGTCGCAGACACTCGAGTTAAAGGAGTTGCTCGTTTGCAACGACTTCGGGTTTTTCTGAGATGTCCTGACAGTTTTCTCCCGACCACCCTTCGTTCGACGCGCCACCGGATTGTAATTCCTGTCGACAAAAAAATCGAGCATTACAAGAGGTTAGAAGTCAAGTTACCCGAGAGTTCGTTCGACACTAAACATTAGCATTACTCGTTCATGATGCCGCCGTTAACGGAATCGCAATAGCGTTTCAGCCATTGCAGAAACTCGAGGTTGTCAAGAGGCCTCCCCTTGATAAGTTTGTTGACTTCGACATGCTGCAATGAATAGATGGATATGTAAAAGAAATAATTAATTAAAGCACGAAATCGAGAGGTATAAGATTGTACCTTGCTGATTTTGAGTTTGTTGAAGACATCCTGAAGCACTTTGTAGTTCTGGATCATGTCGTACTCGGTCTTGGCATCGAAATTCACCTGAAACAACGTTGAGTCGTTGAGCAACGCCCCGATTGTTTGGTAAGAAACGAAAGAAATATCGTCATCACCTTGTGCATCGGGACAACTCCGGGATGTACCATGTCCATCATCTGACATTGTACGGCCCCGGACGCCGCCTGTGTAACAATTCAACATGTAATAAATGAAAAGAAACAGAGAAGGTCCATCATTTTTTCATGACATGATTCCTAATAAATATTTCCGTACAATATATATAAATATATATTCTATATACTCACAAAAAACCAACAAACATGTTTAAGTCGACCAATAATTCCTTAAGTATACGCCACACACAAATATATAGATGTACGAAATCTCAAAAGCACGCATTAGGAAAACCGAAATGATTCTCTAAACTCGTGATCAAACTTCATATCGAACTGGCATTTCCGAAGAAATTTAAGCTAAGAGTTCGACACGACTTAACACAAAAGCATATACACCAAAAAAAGGCTTAAACCGATCAATAATTCCTAAGTTAAAGCGACACACATTGCAAAATAACTCATGATATAACTTCATATCAAACCAGCATTTCTGAAAATTTAACCTAACCTTTTAGCACAACCGATACATTAGAATTTTTGAGGAAAATTAAATGAAATTGTCTTATTGATCATCAAAATAAAGGTACATCTATATAGGTAATACAAAACGAACTCGATAAACTCAAATCTAAATAATCTAATATATGGATAAGTCCAAATCTAAATATAAACCTACTAAATCTAAAACCGAATATCTAAAATATCTCAATACGGAAAAAAAGAAAATACATCCAAAACAAGCTTAAGCGGACCGAAGACCAAGTACACACATATACATATATATATATATGTGTGTGTGAGTGTGTGTACAAAATTTATAAGCACACAATATCAACTCATGGCACAACTTCATCTCGAACCGGCATTTCTGAAGAAATCTGAGCCAACCTTTCAACACAACGAATCCCTTTTATCGAATACAACAACATATATAAACCACATTCACTATTATTAATTCGTCAACTATGACTCTATGTTCCCTAAACGAAATTGCTAAGGAAATATCTTCGCTATGTTCATAAAAAAATTGTCTCTTACATTCAAGACCTGTGTTTTTGTTTAAAATATCATATGAAAAACTTATTCTCTATTCTAAAAATCACATACTGCTATTTCGATCACATCAAACTACAATTTTCGTTCTCTGTTAAACTTTTTACCATTCTTAAAAAAAAAACCAAAACTCCAAAATACTTCCAAAACATTTTCTTGATTCTTGACGGGCAACAACATCAAATACTGAAATTTTATCAGAAGTAATCTTGATCCTAAAGGAAAAATCAGCTAAAATCCCCAATTAGTGTAATGATCAAGAAATATGCAGAGCAGAACAGAATCATATACATAAACTATCGAAAACAAAATCAATTTGCAGCTTTAGAAGTATAAATCATTTCTTTTCAAGACAAAGGCAAAATTAAAATACATTAAAAAAAACAAGCTCATTTCTTTCCAAACATAAACACAGAATTTTTCCGTAAAAACAAAGCAATATAAAATTCAATTCGCTCCAACAGCATGACCTCAAAAATAATTTTGCATAATCAAATAATCAACTGATAATTTAGTAGACACAGAAACATATATTCACACACATATATTGTCAAATCAGATTCCAAGAAACAGCAAATTAATTTTGGGGCAAAACCCTTTTTCAAGCAATTAATCCCCAAATCTGGTTCACCTCTTCGACTCGAGACAGATCAAGCTGAAGCGTGGCGTTCACCCAGGCGAGAATCTCATTCCTGCCGACGAAATAGGCCCCATCCATCATCCCTATATTCGTCGCCATTGCCGCAATCACAAACAGCACTTTCTCGAGAAAACAAAGCAAAATTCAGCCGTCTGGAACTACACCAGCGACTACTAGTTCAAGATTTCTACAGAAAAATGGAAATATCCCCCCAAAATTACTACTATCCTCCTTCCCTGGGTTGAATTTTAGAGCGAGAGAGAGAGGGCGTCGAAGACGGTGAAGAAAACCAGAGGGATTTTGCAATTCAAAAATTTTGGTTGTTTATAAACTGCACTCATTCAACTATTTTGAAGAATATTTTTACGAACTCCAGGACCAAAATACCGGATAAATCATCACCGTTTAAATATGAAATCTTCAGAATCAGCGGTGTAGATCTATCTGGAGTTATTACTCTAAGGGTCTCTGAATAATTATTGATTAGCAAATCATTTTATAGCTGTTATACTTACAAGCCTTCTTTTAATGCATAAATTTCTGATTTTAAAATATATTTAATTCTTTTTTTTTTTATGAGTTTTAAAAATAATTACTTTAAATTTAATATAAAAATAATATTTGATGATAAATTTTGTCAAAAAAAAATAATATTCTTTTTATAAAAACAAATAATTCAAATAGTAAAACTTAAAAGAAAATTTTACAAAAAAACATACCCATACAAATTTATCACTATTTTTTATTACTATTGCTATAATTTTTCTAATTTTAAGTAGTCATAAAGTAATAAGTATAACATGGAAAATTAAAAGTGGGTGTCTTCGTTTGGGGATTTGAATTTTAAGTTGGAATTTGAATAATAAAAATTTTGAATTTAAATAATTATATAATGTAATATAAATAGATATTGATTTGATATTTTGAATATAAAATTAATTTTTAATATAATATAAAAAAATAAAAATAAAATTTAATTTGATATTTTTTAAAAAATAAAATAAAATAAATAATATATTTTAAATTCATTCCCCAAACAAACACATTATATTATTAAAAATAGCAGAAAATAAATTGAGTATCATTTTAAACTATAAATAAAATACTAAAATGACCATTTCCGAAAAAGTAATTAATCAATTAAAATAAAATAAAAAGTAAAACTGCAAAAGCTGGCTGCGGCCAGCAATCCACATTCAACAAGGAGCTTGTCTGTACCATTCTTGAATTTCTTATTTTATTATTTTTTATATTTTATTTTGATTTGATTTTAAAATTTTGATTTAAAAAATCTTTTAATATAATACTTCTTATATGTCAAAAATAAAGTATTCATTTTTTAATTTAGTATGTCCATAAAAAAGTATTTATTTATTTATTTTAGTAAATATATTATCTATCTAACATTACAAAATACTCTTATAATTTACAATATTACACAAATATCATTACTTTTATATAACACAATACTAATAAGATTATTTTAGTCATTTCTACTTAGTTCCTACTACATCTCAATATAATAATAATATTTCTAAAACTCTGTGTAAAAAGCAAACAGATAGATAGTTATGGGACGAATGGAGTAAGTCTTTTATAAAAAATAATAAATATACTTTTATTAAGAGAAAAAATCAATTTTGGTTTCAATATAACCAAAATGTAGCAATTTTGGTCCAAATATAAAACTTTTATCAATTTTAATATCAATATAAACGATTTCAATCAATTTTGGTCCCATTATAAATAATTTCAATCAATTTTGGTCTCACCGTTAAAAAAATTAACGGAAATTGCTGACGTGGACATAACGGAAGTGACGTGGCAGCTGACCTGGAAACTACACGGCCATGTACAATCATACACGGTCATGTATATTTCATTGTATAATTGTACACGATCATATTGTTACAAAGTCATGTAATTTCAGTGTATAACTATACATGGTCATGTTGTTACACGGTTATGTATAATTTTACACGACTGTGTACATTTCTGTTTTAGTCTAAAATTTTATTTTTTTTGTTATATTTTTTAAAAAAACAATTATTTTAAATTTAAAATAGTTGATATAGTTAAAATGGAAAAAATCAATAATAATCATAATATAATTAAAATTTATCAATTTTAATTCAAATATAAAAATTTATAAGATATATTTTTTTGAAATATTTTGTCTAAAATTCTATTATTCATAAAAAAGTTTTCTCTTACAAACATCCGATTACACAACTATTTTTTAATTTTGTATACTCCCTCCGTCCCATAAAGAAGTATCCATTTGCTTTTTACACGTAGTTTTAGAAATATTAGTATTATACAATGAAATATACATGGCCATATAACAACATAACCGTATATAATTGTATATGGCCTTGTAGTTTCCAGGTCAGTTGTCACGTCACTTCCGTTATGTTCACGTCAGCAATTTTCGTTAGTTTTTTAACGGTATAACCAAAATTAATTGAAATTGTTTATATTGAGACTAAAATTAATGAGTTTTTTTATATTTGGATCAAAATTGATAAATTTTGGTTATATTGAAACCAAAATTGATTTTTTCCCTTTTATTAAAATTCATACTAGTTGAATAATATAATTTTATATTCAAAATTATTAAAAAAAAAAAAAAAACCAAATAAACAAACCCCTTTGGATGTGTTTGGTTAGTGTTTTAATTTGAAATGTTTTTTAATATTCATTTTATTATTATTTTTTTTTTGTGTCATCTAAATTATTTATTGTTTTTTACTTTTTTTTTTAGTAAAAAAAAATTATTTTTTTATTTTTTTCATACCCTAAAAAGTAAAAGTTTTTATTTTTTATCTAATTTTTTTAAATCCGTATCCGATCAAATATAAATGACAAAGGAAGCATGATGTATGGAGATATACATTTGTAATACCTTTTGGATAGAAAGCTACAATTCAATTACTTCATTTAATAACAACACCGTTGACTCTATTGGTCGTACGTTGATTGCTAATGTTATCTATCTCCAAAACTTTGTCTGTTACGACGCCAAATTTTGCCGTACACCGAAGATTTTTTACTATTGGAAAGCTTTTCCTTTTTGGCCTTGTCTCCTCATTTTAGCATTCTCCTAGGTAATGCGAAGTCAGTCGAAAAATATCGCCGAATAGACGCGGGTATTTTAAAGGTATTTCCTATGCTTATGTTGAGTTATGTTTTTCCTAATTCCCTTTCATTAGAGCTGTAAAACAAACGAACTGTTCGCGAGCTCGACTCGGTTCGACTCGTTTGAACTCACTAAGAGCTCGTTCGTTAAGCTAAACAAGCCGAACACGAGTCGAGCTCGAGTCCTTAACAAGCCGAGTTCAAACATGACAAGCTCGGCTCTGTTTGGCTCGTTTACAGCTCTATATTTTATTCAATTTTGCCAAGTTAGAAATTTTACTATAAAATACGCAGAGTACTTATTAAAATGAGAAAATATGTATATTTATAGTATAATCCTATGCTAATGATATCCAAATTATATATCTAAATCTATAATATAATATCAAAAGTATGTCTATATCATATTCTCAAATTTTAAAATATAATCAACATTCATATCCAAGAATCTCCCACTTGAAGACTATTGCATCTTCCACTTCAACATTTTACTTTATCAGTAATGACAGCGCCAAACTTCCTTCTTCACTCATTGAAGCCAATTGAGGTTAAACACAACCTCAATACATCTAAGGTCACCACATTAGGTTGCATTTCAGGATTGCTTATAAACCGGCTCACTACTCCCACTGCATGTGCTTTCCAGTTCCTAAAAGTATCATATTTACACTAAAGGAAATATACTAATACTCTCTTTGTAGTGTCGTTAATGAACGTGATGTAGTACCATGAGCCTGCAAGGGATGATACAGGAGCTGGTCCCCACAAATCCATATGGACCAACTCCAACTTCTTCTTTTTTAAGTCTCACCCACTCTTTGAGAATGACACATTTCTCTACTTCTCAAAAAACCAGTCATCGCATACTTCAATATAGATGAACATTAGATTTGGTAATCTTTCCTTTGAAACAAGTTCTTTTATCCCCTTCTCGCTTATGTGTCCAAAACGAGAATGTCATCAATTTGTATCATTATTTATGACCACATAACCGATTTTGTCTCTCATGATGATCGTCGTGTAAAGAGTGTCATCTTTTCTCCCTTGAGTCACCACAATGGATCCTTTGGTTACTTTCCACGACTTAGTTTCAAAACTATTGAGTAACCTACATTATCCCATGAAAATAAGATTTTGTTTCGGACCCTGGACATGTCTTTCGGCATTCACTCTTCATTCGCCTTCATTCAGTATTCTGATTCGAACCATCCTTTTACCTACAATTTTCAATGACTCATTATCTGCAAGATAGATAGTGCCAAAATTACTTGAGGTTTATGATTCTATGATTCCCGAGTCACTGTATCAGTGGGATGACGCTTCTGAGTCCAAGATCCATAACTTCATTGAACTGTTGACGCTCAGAATCAGTGCATCGGATATCTCTTCCGCTGCGTTCGCCGAACTCTGATTCTTCTTTGGCGCCCTACATTGTCATTTCAAGTACCTCTTTTTGTTGCAATTCCAACTTACCATCTGAATTGCATCTTTCTTGTCTTTGTTTTTCAACTTCGACTTTAATCATTCTTGATATTGATTATTTCCTTCGCCTCAAATCTACCCCTAATTTTGGAACTAATGGTAGATCCAAATCTAAATTCAGCATTCTTATCCGAATTTCTCTAGATTTCATCGCTCAAGATTAGATCTCGGGTTGTATCAAACTTCATATTATTCTTCCCCGAATAAGTCATACTTAATGTTGTTACTACCAAATCCCAACTATCCGGAAAATACGATAGTAGGATTAAAATTTTGATCTCTGAATCAAATTCAAGATTCACCGACCGCAATTGCACAATGATCAACTTGAATTCGTTCAGATGCATAGCGACAAGAGTTCCTTCAAACATCCTTAGGTTGAATAATTTTTGCGCCATGTAAACCTTGTTTGCAACACACGATTTTTCGTACATATCCGATATTATTATTAAAATCTCTTGTATCAATTCTGCATGAGCAGTGTGAAACGAGACATTCTCTGAAAGTGTTAGTCAAACCGCACTCATTGTTTTCCTATCGATCTTCTTGTATTCGGCTTCATCCATGTCATTGGGTTTCTCTTTCAACGCTGCCTCTAGATCTTTGTCATACAGGTAATCTTCTATCTGCATCTTCCATAAATTGAAGTTCATTCCACCGAATACCTTGGCAGCAGGACGATCACCCGTCTTGATTCCCACTCAAAAGAATCGAGGACTCTAATACCAGTTGTCGTGAAAAATTCAAGTAATTAAGAAGAGACAAATAAGAACACAAAAGCACAATAATTTGATTACTCAATTTGATCAGAATGATCTACATCTAAGGGCGTTTACCAAACCAGAAATTTTACTATTTAACACGTAGTTAACTAGTTAAAGTGAGAATACATGTATATTTATAGCATAATCCTACTACAATAATATTTAAATTATATCCTTAAATTTTAGGATATAACCATGCTTCGTATACCACAAACAGTTTCCAACAAAATCACTTCACCTATTCACTCGTTAAAGTAAAAATTCATCAACCAACAAAAATACAGCAAACAAACACAATTAAAAAAAATCCCCAATTTATCACTCTCTATACGCCGAACCCTCAATTGAATAATTTTTCACATTCTTCCCAACTTATGGTAGAAAATTACTCGAAAATAATCACAAAGCACTACAACAAACAAAGGATTCTAGTTTCACCCACAAATAAAATGCAATAATAGAGAAATAGAGAAACTAATTCAAATCTTCAAAGAAAAATTGCTGATAAATAGTTGTTTTACTGGAGAAGAGGACTGAGATGTTATTCGTATTATTGTCAATGAGCTCTACTATTTAGAGAAATCCTTGTAGATCCGAGAACAAATTCGAGAGAGAAATATTGGAGAAATAGCTCTCATCTCATCAATAATACCTTGTGCCTCCGGCTGCCGCAACGACTTTGATCCGTTGTCTTCTGTGTTGGATAAATATGGGTGTTATAAAATAAAGAAAGAAATCGGAGAGAAGGCTTTGCCTACACCAGGCTATCTCCTAGGAGCATGAATTTTTTTGTTCTGAAATTTCGATGGTCAGACAAATCGCCTCTATTTATGTTGGTTTTAATAAAAAGTATATATTCTTCATTTTAATATAAAGTTTTTTTTTTTTTTTTTCATTTCAAAATATTATTTTATATTCTAAAAAAAATAATTATTTATATAAAAAAATTAATTAATCAATGACATTCCCGTAATAAGAAGTATTCTTTTTGCCACGCCGAAGTGTTTGATCTCAGGCTACTTTTCCGAACGAGAGAACCGGGTTCAAATACATAAAAAGAGTGTGGAAGACATGTAATTTTTTTTTAGGGTGCGTTTGTTTTCATGTTTTGATTTTGAATTTTAAATAATAAAATTTTGAATTTAAGTAGAAAATTGATTTGATATAAATAAAAATTAGAAAAAACATTTTGAATATTTAATTAATTTTAATATAATATAAAAATTAATAAATAAATATTTGATTTAATATTTTAATAAAAAAATTATAATTAGTACTACATCTATCATTAAAAATTAAATGAAATTAATTAAACAAATACACCCTTAAAAAAAAATTAAACTGATTTTGAATAAAATAAATAAATTAATAATTTAATACAAAATAATAATATTATTTTTATATTATCTTCATTTATTTATTCTATATATGAAAAAAATCCATCAAAAATACATGACAAATAGTATTTCAAATTAAAAATATTAGTTAAACAACAGTCAAAAACTCACGAGTAATGAGTCGCACTATGCTTAAACGCCAAGACGACGCCGTATCATCGACGGATCCTAAACAAACAGCAGAACATGAAGAACACGTACAGCAGTTGCAGTCCCACCATGGAAATGCCCAGCAGAGTTTCCATATGCACACCTCTGTACCTCTCCACTCCTTCGTAATCCCCTATCATCTTCAAAACGACGACGTATGAGTGCACGAAGTACGCACCGTTTTCCACCAGCTCCTTCACTTCCTCCACCGCCGTCGCCATCGCCGGATCGACTTTCTCCAGGCAGGAATCCAGATTAATCGCAGCGTTGTTCATCCACTTCACAATCTCACTCCTCTGATCGTCGCTCTGCGCCTCCACGAACGGATGCTTCCGCATTCTCGCGAGCGCGTTGCTGATCTGATTCATCGCCTCGATCGACGAATTCGAGCAGGTATCGACGAAATCCGCCGCGGATTCGTCGCGATCTTTTAAATTTGGTAGGATCGAGACGAATTTCTCGAGCTTGACGGCGGCGATACGAAGCGAATTTGAGTAGATCTGGCTAGGGTTTACACTCGATTTGGGGGTAAATTTTCCGTCGAAGCTTCGTAAACACGAGAAGTAATCGGAAGACACTTGACAGTAGGCTTTAACAGCGTAATTGACGTCAGTAACGTGCGGCTGGCGGCGAAGGAAATTGCGGAATAAATAGGAAATCAGAACGGCTAAAACGAGCGTGAACAGCACAAATATGAAGAAAAGCACGAAGATTAAGATCCTGTTCCTCCTGCGGAATGCTGAAATGGTTGCGTCTTCTTCGAGAAGGTTAGTTTTGAATTTGTTGGTGGTGTTTTTGTTTGCTTTGTCTGTTTCCATTACTGAATGATTGAATCTGCTGCTGCTGCTGCTGCTTTGATTTTGTGATTTTGATTATTGGAGGTGTGGAAGATAGTGATGAATTGAATTGATGATAGTGAAGAATAGGAAGAACATCATGCTCTTGCTTGCTGTGTGCAGCGAAGTTTCGTTTATGATTATAGTATTGCTTGCCGTTGACCGTTGACTTGTTTGGTTGAAAAATCTGTCATCCTTTTCTGTGTAGAAGAATAGGCCTCCGTTGACATGGCTTGGGAATCAATTTCTGACACAAATATTTGAAAAAATAATCCCTCTGCCTCGGGATATACTCCCTCCGATTTTGGTTCTGTATTCGTCGGTTTTTTTTTTTTTTTTTTTGTATTATTTATGTAATTGGACTATCTACTTAACGTTATAAATATCTTTACAACTTACAATATATTACACAAATGTCATTACCTATATCACGCATACTAATAAAATTATTTTAGTCATTTTTATTTTATTTTTATTATATCATAATATAATATAATATTAATAATTCTAAAATCAGGTGAAAAAAAAAAAAAAGACATGGAGTATTAGAGACGGTATATATTTGAAAAATGAGCCCTTCAAAATTTTGGGCCTGGGCGAAGGCCCCTTTTGCCCTGGCCCAGGCCGGCCCAACAAAAAACCGGCCGGACCTCCCGGCACGGATAAAAATGGATCGAGCCAGCCCAAAATTGCCACCCCTATTAAAGAAGAAGACTATAACAGGATAACTACACTATACACCCTCAAAAAAAGCTATACAGCACTACGAGGAAGTCAGCACTAAATAATTGCAGGCTACAGTCATCACATATAAATTCAAAAAAACCAAATACTTATGCCGAAAGGGGATAGACATGTGACTGTGACGCATGGTTCAAACTCATGACGCCTCAGGTCATCTGCCACACATAATTTGATTAGTATGATTTATCTATTAAGCCTAATTTACAGGGTATTAGGTTTGACCAAGGATTTACTCAATTAAGAAATGGTACAATGGATCATATTTTGAAGGCTAACCTAACCATCTCTTAAATTTTAGCACATAAAAACCAATACTACGTCCAAAAAAATCAATCACCTCCGCCATTTTATTACCATACGAAGCTAAAAGTTTAAACACCGAAATAAATCTTGACAACAACACAACAAAGTTAAAAAGACCTTTGCAAAATAAGATAAAAGAGTACCTGTAATTTCACGACGTTGCGCAATTAATCAGAACCACGATCGATTCCTGACATAGTAAAGATTTCATCCATTTTCCCTTAGAATCAAAAGACGAAAGAATGTAATCAGAACATGACAGACGCCTGACAGACGCCGATCAGGACAATATAGTTTCAGCATACCATGGACCATATAATGAATCGAAGAGCTCAAATTGACAAAATTTAAACGACATATTTGCTCAACAAGAATGATCGAATTTCATTCAAAGAATTAAGTAGAGAGGAAAGTGTTACCTCTTTGTATAATCTTTCGGGTATATGAAAATCTTCAACCAGTGAATACTCGATTCTTGGCTATCTTTTCTACCTCACCCGTACTTAAATTCCGAATGCCGTTTTCCTTCAGCCATCTTTCATCCCCAATCTTTTTCAACCGTTTCTTCTCGGTTTTTAATAACTTCAACGCCTCGTTAACTTTCGGGAAAAAGCCTTCGGGTCTTAGACACCACACGCCAAATATCCCAAACAGAACCATTGCATCATTCCAAAGTCTCTCGACTCCACCGTCGTGAAATTTCACATTGCTCATAATTATACTGTTAAAAACCAATTTGTCAATCCCGGCCGCCACGTTTCTCCATACCCTCGTAAAATCCATTTTGTTCAGCCCTTCTTCAAGAATCGACAATTTTCCCTGCAAATAAGCCATTGCTTCAACAAAGGATCGAGACAGGGCTGAGGCTTCATCACTCTTTTCCTGCCATTGCCTTTTATTCTTAATATAGTCTCGGCAAAGTGCATCGAAACCCCGTAAGACGACAGTCGACAGCTTCTCTATCCATTCATTTCGGAACTCCTCGAGCTTTTTTATTTCTTCGTGAAAAATTCCACTCTCTCGTGCTTCTGAATCTTTATTTGTAGCGCCTGCCTCGGTTGTTTCATGCTGTTCCATTTCAAGAAAGAATACGTCTTCGCAATATTCTTTCAAAACTGATTCGAAGCAGTGAGAAGCATTAATAGACTTAGCAACTTTCGTTAGAGCACTGTTGTCTGTCAGTGCAGTCAATCCCTCGGCTTCTTGACACCTTTGTTGCAACCGATCGAGAAATTTGTGTATGATCGGTGCACCCGCCAATCTAACAAACCTCGATTTTAGTGATATGTTAGGTACCGATCGACATCGATCGATGACAGAAGAAAAGCATCGGAATACAGCACTTGATATCGAAGGGGATTTGTATTCTTCCTGGCCAGACATAACCGAGACTTGCTGTCCTTCATTTATCCAATTTCTGTCGTCCTCCATATGAGATTTTAACTTATGAAGCGTGTCGTTGAGTTCGATCTCGGCCCACAAATCGAGCCAATCAGGCCTATCGCAAAATACCGTCATCAAAGACATACTGCCGGTTTCAGGGAGGGAAAGAAGCATTCCGGAATGAGCTGCCAAAGATTGAACTCGTTTATCGAATCCGATCATCAAGTCCACAAGATGTAGCCAGGAGGTCTTTGCCTGTTCTTGTACAGCATCGCTTTCTTCTTTGAGCTTATCGACATAATTGGGGAATATTTCTTTGGCCAGGTATGTTGACAGGGAAGATACCATAGCCGAAATCCATTCCTCTCTGCAACTATAACCAGATAGCATTGCTTCATCGACGAGCGGCTGTAACAAGTCATCCATAGAGTCGACATAATCTCGTGTGATCTTATAAACAAGCGCGAAAATGAACTCGGGCTTATCAATCCACTTCGAGAAGTGGCGCTGTGAGGCTATAGATATCGGATTCACAAGCTCTTCGATAACCCAAAGGGGCTGGTGAAGATCAGCATCCTTATAATGCCCCTCAAGTTGCCGGGATTTTCGTCTTCTCTGCAATTCTTGAAGACCACACAATGCAAGGAAGCTTTCGCAATACTGGTGTTTCAAGTCGCCTTTCATGGTGAAGAGAGGGTTTGGAACATTTGTTGATTCCTTTGAATCTTGATTTGATGAGCTTAGGGATGACAGAGGGGGTGGCCACCCAAGAGAAATAAGAAGAGTACGATGATCGGCTATAGCCTGAGGCCTTAGAACAGCCAAAGCCCTGTCGATTCTATGATCAACGGCTGAAACTAGATGAGCCCATTGGGGGTGTTTCTTTATAACTGAACTAAGTAAATCTTCTGTCGATTTGAGAGTTCTTAAAGCAACTGCTCGCATATCCTGCAAAGTCACAGGATTCTCCAATTAGTCGAGTACTTTGTTAACATTATTCAATAACTTATGTTCGACATTATTAGATGTCAAAATGAATGTGAACATGTCTATGAACATCTTATCGTATAAACTAACTGCAACTATGATCAGGTTATGCAAACCAACTATTCCAAGAAGCTAATCACATTGACAAACTGACTCTTTGAAGTGAACTTACTTCTAAACTTTTGGCGGATGGTTGCTTCCTCAATGTTCGATTCACAACTGTAGATACAGCATCTTCAAGGTCACCAACCAATGTGTCGAGCTTCAATGCAGTCTCTGAGGGATGTATGCAGATTAGTTATGAAACCAAGTGACAATCGATCATAATATATATAGAAAGATAGATAGATACATTTTCATTCATGACAAAAATCTACACAAAACATAATTGATGACAATATCATTCTCGGTATATTAAAGATATCTTGGCATCCAAATATCAATCAACTCATAAACAAATGCATTGTCAGATACGATATAGCTGCTAAACTACGCCCCGGTCGATTAGTTAACACCAAACACCCTATGGAGTATATTTTGTGCCGAACCTGTTTTCTCACTACGTAATCTATAATTAGAAAAAATAAAAAAAAAATTCTCTGTATACACACATCAAATCCAAAAACTTATTTTCAATTCAAAACATCTTATTCAAAGACAAATGTTCATACAAAAAAATTTCAAATCCAAATAACCCCAAAACAAAACAATAACAGACTCAACAAACTAACCTTAACAAAAACAGAGAAAATTCAATTCAGGATCAAGATACAGCATTCTTCAAACATAATTAGTTCTTCCATTTTCACAGCTAAATCAGGAGAACAAATCATCTAAACTCCTGGATGTTCTAACAAGCAATGTTCCTACGCCAAAATATCCTCAACCAAAGTGTCCAGAATCTTAATTTCACAATAATTAAACAAATATCTATCTATCTCTATATATATATATACTGTAAAGTTTGGAGAAAACCAAAATCAACCTGCATAATTTCTCACGGTTTCTACTCTGGCTACTTCCTTTGCTAATGTCTGCAACTCCTCCCACATCCCTCTCCTCAATCCGTCGCCTATAAAAACACGCAAAAAAATCATCAGCCTTAAGTAAAATCGAGAAAAAGAAAAAAAAAAAATCCCTAAAATTGACGCACCAGGCGGGGAGCGAGCGGAGGAACGGAGAAGATCATCTAACTGTGAGTGCACATTAGTCAATAGTGATCCGACGCGATTCGAGTGGGAAGAGTGTTGAGTCAATTGATGTCGGAGCTCCTCGTTGAGTTCGGAAAGCGTCCGATCCAAGGCACCGGATTCCATTTGGAGCTCCGAAAGTAAATTCGGGGCTCCATCGAGGTCTTCTCTTGAGCTGAGGTTGGAATTCAGGAAAGAAATGACGTACGGCGATAGCGTCGCCGGCGGCGGCAAGGCTCGCGTCATCGGATCGTCGTTTCGTCAGTCGGAAGGAATGAGCAGAACGACATTGAAATGAAGAACGGCGGTGTATGTGGGTTTGTATTATTGCAGTCTGATCCCTAATCTTTGTAGTAATTACAAAACACCATGTAGGAAATATTGTTTTTTTAGAAAAAAAAGAACTCCACATACTTTTTTTTGTTTTTTTTTTTAAATTAAACTCCCTCATCCCCTGTGTTCTGTTTTCCTGTTAGAAGGTATATAATTAGTATATAATTAAAAATAATTATTATATAATAAAAATAATTATAAATTTAAATTTAAATAATTAATTAATTTAACTTAAATTAAAAAATATATAATAAAATTAAAGTGTATAATTTATTTTTTTTTAAATATAATATAAATGAACAAACAGAAACAAAAATATAAATTATCGTTCAACATCATATTTTAACTTAGGAGTATATTTTATAGTATGTTTTATTGAAAATAATATATATAATCACTCTATTCTCTCAATATAATCTCTCAATACAATTTTTCGATTGCAATTCTAAAAATCAATAATAGCTATGTGAACGGAGCCAATATTTTAACATAGGAGTATATTTTAAATTTTTCTTAATTATATATATACATATGTGATTACATCAAAATATAATTATTTTTATTAATATATTTTTTATATTTCTATTGAAGTTTTGTGTCTACCAAATCTCCCATTATGCAAAATGCAGGAGGAAATGAGTAACAATAAAGGAAAATCAACAATAAATTTAGGTGTGTTTCTTTAGCCAGATTTCAAAAAAATTAGATTTGAATTTGATTTTTATTTGAAATTTAAGATATATTTGAATTTTTGTGTTTGTTTTAGGTTAATTTGGGTTTGGAGAATTTTAATATTTATTGGTTCGATAGACAATAAATATAATAATATAAATATATATTAATTTGTATAATTTAATTATAAATTTATATTATATATATTTTTTAAAATTTTTATTTATTTATATTATAAAATTTTTTATAAAAATTTAAAAAAAACAAACACAGACAAGCTGTCTACAGTTTGTCTGCCAAGACATCCCAGTTTAGAAAATTTTACTGTACAAATAGTATTTGTGCGGTAAAAAACTTGCCTCGAAGAAACATGCCCCAAATTTTCTTATTCGTAATTGTATTATTTTATTATTATTGATAACATCCGTACATTTTTAACATTTCACAAATCATATATATAGAGAGAGAGCGCACAAATTGAACCGCACCACCAGCGCCGCCGCACACCGGAAGCCGAGCCGAGCCGAGCCGACCAAACCTACGCCGCCGTGAACCTATAAACCACCACATGCAAATACTTCTCCCCCGGCCGGACCACCTGCGACGGAAAATTCGGCCGGTTCACGGCGTCGGGAAATCCCTGCGTCTCCAGGCACAGTCCGGCGTGGACGCCGTAGACGGCGCCGCCCTTCCCGGCGGTCCGGTTCAGCATATTGCTAGTGTACACCTGAACGCCGACCTGGTTGCTCCACATCTCCATTTTCCGGCCGGTCTTCGCCGCCTCCCTCACCGTCGCCACCTTCGCCAGGTGGCCGGCGGCGGCGGACCGGTCGACGACGTAGTTGATGTCGTAGCCGCCGGGGAGGGCGGCGAGGCGGCTTCCGATGGGGCGCGGCTGGAGGAAGTCGTACGGCGTGCCCTGGACCGGGACGACCCGGCCGGTCGGGATGAGGGCGGCGTCGACCGGAGTGACGGCGGCGGCGTGGAGGTGGAGGGTGTGGGAGAGGACGTCGCCGCTGCCGTGGCCGGCGAGGTTCCAGTAGGTGTGGGTGGCGAGATTGACCGGAGTTGGTTTGTTGTGCGGCGTCGCCTCCATTCTGATGGCGAAGGTCCGCCGGCCGATGAGGAAGTACGTCACCGTCACCGTTAGTTTGCCCGGAAAACCTGCCGGAAAGATTGGTGTTAATATATATATGGGTTAGAGATTTAAATGAAAATTATTCTGTATTTTTTTTATGTAAAAAACTTATTTTTGCTACATATGTAATATATACTAGTATAAATTTTAAAATATTAATTATTATATCAAAACTTAGTACAAATTAAGAAAAAATTACAAAATTACTTCTATTAGTGTCTTATAATACTAATAGAAAGACATTTATACAAAAAATTAATAAGTATAAGAATATTTTTAATATTAATACAACGACCCAAAAGATAAATGTGAGGAGAGGAAGTATATTTTATATTTAAAAAAAAAAAGCATCATTTTCCAAAAATATTAATATATTACATGTATTTATTATCCATACATGAATTGTTCATATTTTATTTTTTTAAGTAAATACGAAACTAAGGGTGTGTTTGTTTGGGAGTTTGGATTTTGAGTTGAGATTTGAATAGTAAAAATTTTGAATTTGAATAGTTGTATGATGTGATATAAATAGGTGTTGATGTGATGTTTTAAATGTAAAATTGATTTTTAGTATAATATAAAAAATAAAAAATAGGTGTTTGATTTGATATTTTTTGAGGGAAAAAAATGGGATGAATAGTGGATTGGAAATCCAATCCCCCAAACAAACACACCCACAAATCATCAAACTTACATCAAATTAAGACATAAAACTACAATAATTTTTACATGTGGGATCATTTATTTATTTTTTCTACTATTAATTCCTTATAATAAATAGGCTAGCATTTCTTCTTTAAAAACCAAATAAAAAAAAGACCAAATATCAAATCTTAGGAAAATGAAATGTAACTAAAAAAGAACAATTATAAACAATTAAATAAAATTGGAAGAAGATCAAATATCAAACTCATTTCAAATAGTCTATTAATATTTTAAAATTTGAAATTTTAATTATCTTATATAAATACATACCTTGTTCTCCGTCATGGCTGTCATAAGTAAGAGACAAGTGACTATTTTGAACAAACTCACGAACTTTCCAAACAACGTCGGAAAATCCTTGCGTCCCACCTAACATATACATACAATATAAATATATTCATCAAAACAAATCATTCAAACAACTTTGTGACGATAAAATCAAATCATTTAAAGTTGATATACCGTGAAGGGTATTTCCATGATCATTTGGGGGTAGATGGTACACCTGGCCACTCAAATTGAACTTCGCACCGCTGATTCTATTCGCCACACGCCCAACTATTGACCCAAAATAGGCTGTATCGTTCTACATTTAGAATTAAAATCGAAAGTCATAAGATGGTAAAAATGTGTTTGATATGATTAAAAATAATTTTGATAAGTAATACTCATTTCCATCATGTAAAATTATAATTATCTGATTTGAGCACAGGATTTTAATATGACGTGCATTTTTTATTTTATTTTTTGTAATAAAAAATTAGAAAAAATGATTAAAAATAAAAAAAAAGATAGTCTAATTTTTTTTGCTTAAATAATGACAAAAAAAAAGTATATATATATTTTTTTATGATAGAGTAAATATTCATGTCTATTCAATGTTTCTATTTTATACTACTAAAATTCTATAAATAAAATTATGCACCCAATAATATATTGGTTTGCTCTTTTGATTTATTATTATTATTATTTATTATATAAATCATTGTATCGAATTATTATTTTATTTAAAATAATAAAAACGGAAACATAAAAAGCATACACCACTCTAACTTATTTTTACCATTAACTTTAAAAAAAAAAAAAATCCATATATATAAGGGGAAAAACATCATTGCATTTATATATCAAAGTAAATTTTAAAATTTAAAATATTTATATATAATAATTATTTTATACTTCTTATATATTACTATTATTTACTGCTCCCTCGTCCCACATACCATGTCAACATTGATGTTTTTGTCCCACATGCCATATCATTTTTCTTTTTTGAAAAATGATTATACACTTTAATCTCATTTTAAACTTTTTAATTTTATTTTTTTAAAATTTTAATTAAACTAATTAGTTATCTTAATCTTAATTTATAATTATTTATATTATATGATAATTATTTTCACTAATATATTTTTAATTATCTACTAAGACGGAGGGAGTATTAATTTTTTTTATCACTTACCGGTTGAGTTGTCCTAATTAAAAAAATACACCTAAATTTCATAGTATTCAGTAAAAATAATATTCCCTTCGGTCTCTTATTTTTATTTTTTTTAACCAGTTTCAAATCCATAAATATTAAAATATTTTAGAAATATTTTACATATTTCTATTAATTAATAAATTATAATTTTTTTAATCTATTAAAAAAAGACATTGATTTGAGACAAAGATCGATATGAATATAATATTTTTATTAACAATTTTATGTCTAATCCTATATATATATTGACAGCCATTTTAAAATATAACAAAAAAGTACGTGAAAAAAAAAAGTTCCAAAAATCACAAGTAAATTAAAACACTAAAAAAAACAAAAATTGAATATATTAGACGAAAGAAAATGACCTTGTAGTCGTCAATGGATTGGAAGCCAAGAACAATGTCGTCAAGCTTCCCTGCGGCACAGCAGCAGATATTAATTAATAATAAAATAAATCAAATCAAATCAAAGTTATATAAACTCGATCAAAACCCTAATTTATTAAAAAGGCAAGTCAAGACAGCCGTCGGATGGACGGATGAGAACGGACGGCTGCGATTGAAGCTAGCATGAAATAGCGAGTAGAGAGTAGAGAGAGTACTGACCGTGCCTGTCAGGGACGTGGAGCGACAAAACGGTTGCGCCGTAGTTGGAAATCCTCACCGCAACTTCACCGTCGCCTTTTTTCAGCTCGTAAACGCCGATCTCGCCGCCATTTCCGACTGCTGCTCCTACCAGTAGCAGTAGCACCGCCGCCGTTAGACTTGCCGGAATCGGAATCGGAATATTCCTCGATTTCGACATCGTATCTGCTACTGTTGAAGATCGATCGATTGTGATTGCGATTGTGATTGTGATTGCGATTGCGATTGTGGATACGAACGAGGCTGCGGTTTCTGATTTCTTATTTGATTTATATGAGAGAGAGATTGAGATTTGGGAGAGAATTTTGGATAAGTATTTGGAGAAGAGATAGAGATTGGGATTAAGGAACAAGTGTAATTTGCATTACAGATTTGAAGGAAAAGGGTTTGCTAATTAATTAAATTAATTAATTAATTAATTGGGTAATAAATATAGGAGAGTGATATCATATGGTGATGTGTTGCATGTTTCTTGTTTTAGCGCCCCCTTAAATGCATGAATGTGCATACTTTCAATATAGTACGGATCTTATTCGGGTGTGTTTGTTTGAGGATTGGATTTTAAATTTATTATTTATTCAATTCTTTTTTTTTTCTAAAAATATCAAATCAAATATCTATTTTTTATTTTTTTTATATTATACTAAATAAAAATCAATTTTACATTCAAAATATCACATCAACACCTATTTATATCACATCATACAACTATTCAAATTCAAAAATTTTACTCCCTCCATCCCACATAATTTGTCCCTATTTTCTATTTCGTCCGTCCCACATAATTTTTGTCCATTCATTTTTTGGAAATATAATTATACACTTTAATCTCATTTTAAATTTTTAATTTTATAATTTTTTTAATCTTAATTAAACTATTTAGTTATCTTAATCTTAATCCACAATTATTTTTATTATACGATGATTATTTTTACTAATACACTTCTTAATTACTTATTAATCACACTTTACCTAAATTCCCATATATACAGCAATAGACCCATAATACATGGAACGGAGGGAGTACTATTCAAATCTCAAATCAAAATCTAAACCGCCACACAAACACATTCACTACAAATATTTTTAAATATAATAACATAAATGAATATTTTAATTATTAATACTCCATCCGTCCCAATACAATAATTTTGTTTATCAATTTTGTCCGTTCTAAAATAATAGTCTTGTCATATCACCATAAAACTATCCTTATTTTTTCATTATTATTACATAATTATCACTACTTTTTATACTAATATACTCACAATGGCAAAAAAATCATTTATCCCTACTTAAATTTAAGAAATATTAGAAATTTAAGAAATATTAGAAATATTAATATTTCTTAAATTTCGTGCCCAACGCAATAAAACTATACTTTTGAGACAGAAAAAGTAATAAAAATATAAAAGAAAACTATAAATACTGAAAAAGCACAACATATGTACTCTCTCCGTCCTACTTAAATTTTTCACTACTTAAATTGTCCACTTCTACTTACTGGGTTTTAGGTATTAAGTAATTGGTGAGTAATTAAGAACTTTATTAGTAAAAATAATTATTATTTAATAAATATAACTATAAATTAAGATTAAAATGACTAAATAATTTATTTAATATCCAAAAAAATTTAAACTATGATTGAAGTGTATAATTATATATATTTTTTTTAAAAAAAAAACAAATTATATGAGATAGAAAAAAAAAAAAAATAGTAGAGTGGGATGGAGAGACTATTTATTTAATTTTAGAGAATAACTTACGAAATATATTGCTACGTTCTTTTATGAATTATTTACAAAACTTTTACTATATATCTATTTTTTATATTATAAAAATTAATATTTATTTAAATTATATTAAACGATTATTCAAACTCAAATTTTTATTTATTTAAAAATCCAAACCTTAAAAGCTTATCCACAATTGATAGAAAGTTTTATAATTGCAATTTCAAATAAAATATATGATATATAATTAATGTGTGAGGATTGCATTTACTAAATTTCAATTATATACATTGGACGTAGACAACTTTAAATAAATAACCGGGTTTTATTTGTCAAGAGTCCACCCCAACGGCTGGGGGTTTCAAATTTAAAATTTATTATTTATTTATTTTTTTAAAAAAATATTAAATCAAATATTTTCTTCATAATTTTTATATTTTAATAAAAAAAAATTATATTCAATATATATTTATTTGTATCACCCTAACAAACTATTCAAATTTAAAATTTTACCGATAATTACCAAAAACAAACCTTTATAACAACTACTAAAAAAATAATAAAACTATACCATCATACAAACCCTAAACCAAACCAAAGTTACACTAAATATAACAATATTCAACCCAAATAATAATTTCTAATTTTTTTTAATGACCTAAAAATCTCGGACCGTTTATTTTTTAATGTAATACTCCCTCCGTCCCTTAACAATCTATCCATTTTTTTTATTTTGGTCCGTCCTATAACAAAGTATCAGTTTCCAGTAATTGTACTATCTACCTACCATTACAAATACCCTTCTAATTTACAATATATTACACAAATGTCATTACCTTTACTTTATATCATACAATACTAATACGATTAATTTAGTTTTTTTTACTTTTATTTCTACTTTATCCCAATATAATACTAATATTTCTAAAATTTCGTACAAAAAGCAAATGGATATATAGAATAAGGATGGAGGGAGTATTTATTTATTTAGTGTATGATAAATATATAAACTAATAATTTATAAATATTTTATATATTAAAATGGCCGTCTCCGAAAACAATACTTATGTATAAAAACACAACCATAGCCGAATATATATATATATATATATATATATATAATTCACAAATTTGCAAAGGCTCTACAATACTTACGACAGGGTGGCGCCGGCCGGCGCCCCTCGGGCAACCTTAATAAAGACATCCTCCAATGTAGTGTCCGCAAGACCCCATGCTTGAACAGCGAACCGGCTCTTTGCATCCTCGACAGCTGCAAACACTTGGGCTATTCTTACCTCATTTTTTGGCAGCTCGAACTTTTGTGTGCCCGATATTTGGTATATCTTTGTCGCATTTCTGGATAGGTGACGCACCAATCTTTCGACTTCTTCCTCATGGTCTGGGGCTGTCGTCATTGTGAATACATATGAACCTCCGTACCTCGCCTTCAACTGTCATTACAAAAAGAAAAAGATAATTAATTAGGTACAACAAAATATGCACAAGCTAAATATTGGAGTGTGTAATGTGTTACTTCTTTCGGATTTCCAATGCATTGCAAACTGCCGTCGACAAATATTCCTAAGCGATCGCATAAATGCTCCGCCTCTTCCATAGAATGCGCTGAAATATACAACAAAAATATGCGATGATAGTACCCGAATTCTTATAAATATTTGTTTACATATATTTAAAATTATGAGTTAATATTAAAGATCCGTTAAATTATATATATATATATATATAGTACATAAATTTTATTAAATAACTCAACTTCGCGTTAAAGAGAAACATGCACATACTTTACATAATATATAAGTGTGTTTGTTTGAGGATTTGGATTTTGAGTTGGGATTTGAATTGTAAAAATTTTGAATCGTAATAGTTGTATGTATAAAATAGGTGTTGATGTGATATTTTGAATGTAAAATTAATATTTAGTATAATATAAAAAATAAAAATTAACGGTTTGATTTGATATTTTTTGAGGAAAAAAATTTGTTGAATAATAGAATTTCTGAGAAATTCTCCAATCGAACACATTCATATATCAAATTTTCATATAAAATATCATATTTTACAATAATTGTTACTAAAGAATATAAAAAATGAATACAAAACAAAAATAAAATACAAAAACCACACAATTTAAAGAAATACTCCCTCCATCCAAGAGTAGGTTTTTCATTTGACTTTTGCACATGGATTAACATAAATTAGTATTTTATAAATGTATACTATAATGTTCATTTTCCTTTTGACATTAAAATAAAAAATAATATGAAAAATAAGGTATTTAAGTGAAAATTATTTTTTTAAAAAAATAAAAAAAATTTGATTTGAACATACTAAACGATAAAACAAGAAGATTACTTTCGGACGAAGAGAGTATATTTTTCAAAAGAATTGCTAAAGGCAGCTCCGGCTATGTATACTTTAGAATTTCAAAAACTATTTCAACTAAAAATCAAAACGCAGACACAAATTCTCTATTTTTATTTTTATTTATTTATTTATACAACGCATTAACATATTCACTTTCTATAATATTGCATCAAACTATTATTCTACTTTTAAAAACAATAAAAACCAAAACATTCCGAGCACAAAAAGAACAAACAAAAAACTTCCCTTGTGATAAGCACTTGAAAGCATAAAATTTCTCAAGAAATCACGAAATTGTAAAATTTAAAAAGCGTACGTACTTGTGAGAATTATAGCTCGGTTTTGTTTCGCCTGTCTTACTACTTTCCACAACATGGTTCTTGAAGCCGGATCGAGCCCGGTGCTTGGCTCGTCCATGTACACAACCTTGCAAGAAATACGAATTATTCAAGAACTAATGTCGACAAACTTATATATGAGAATATCATAATATATTAGTGTAAGTATACTTTTGGATCTCCGATGAGTGAAATGGCAACGCTCAGCCTCCTCTTCATGCCTCCACTGTATTTTCCGGCTTTTTTGTCCGCCACTCCGCCATGGAACAAATTCACACTCTTGAGAGATTCTTCCACTGCCTGAATCACGGCATATGTATATATAGTTACAAGGTCATAACTCTCCATCATCGACCAATGAGCTTAGCAGAGAGATAAGAATTGTTATGTGAATTGAATTAGTTTAGGGGCAAACTCAGGTTGAGCTTGAAAAATATACTCAGAAAAATATCTGAGTTGAGCAGCTCAATTCAGACAAAGTTCTATAAATAATGTATTAAAACATTTATTATATTTTTAAGGATAAACTGATTTTTTTTGTCCCGTAAAGCCCTTTATCATTTTAGTCATGTAACTGGAGTCGCAAACTAGTTTCATAAGTGAAAAATTTTCGCATTTTTAGTCAACCGTATATGCCTACGTGGCACCCGCATGGTTCGCCGGAAGACACGTGTCCGCCGGGTCAGCAACACCCAGCGGACGCATAGATTTTTTAATTTTAATATTTTCTTTTGTCTTTTTTTGCAAAAATTACAATTTTGAAAATTAAAGATTTTTAAAAAAATAAATAAAACTCTATGTGTCTGTCAGGTGTCTCGCTGACTTGGCGGACACTTGTCATCTCACAAGCCACACGAGTGCCAT